AATAAGAGCAAAACTCTGACTCAAAAAAAAAAAAAAAAAGAGGAGAGGTTATACCACAATGGAAAAACAACCCTACAAAATTCAGTTCTGCAGGCCGGGCCGGTGGCTCAAGCCTGTAATCCCAGCACTTTGGGAGGCCGAGGCGGGTGGATCACGAGGTCAAGAGATCGAGACCATCCTGGTCAACGTGGTGAAACCCCGTCTCTACTAAAAATACAAAAAATTAGCTGGGCATGGTGGCACGTGCCTGTAATCCCAGCTACTTAGGAGGCTGAGGCAGGAGAATTGCCTGAACCCAGGAGGCGGAGATTGCGGTGAGCCGAGATCGCGCCATTGCACTCCAGCCTGGGTAACAAGAGCGAAACTCCGTCTCAAAAAAAAAAAAAAAAAAAAAAAAATTCAGTTCTGCAAAGTAAGTCCTGGACAGCTTCTATGTGGTAGATTGCCACGTACCACCCTGGTTCATTCGGCGTCCCTGTATCTGTGTCCCTCCACACAGACCTGGGCGCTGGCTGTGTGACCTGCTTTAGACAATGGGAGAATAGTGAACATGACATGAGACTTGAATAGCACTTGACCTTGATCTCTCTTGCTGCCATGGGAGCCCCGAGGCCACCATGTGAACAGGCCCAAGCTGGAGGAGACCAATGGCTCAGCCAACAGCCAACTGCCAGACATGAGTGAAGCCCCTGACTGCCTTCTGACCACAATACACAGTTGAGTTCAGCCAAGCCCAGCAGAAGAACCACCTGTCTGTGCCCAGCCCCATCACTGATCCACATAATTATAAATCTAATACATTTGTTGTTTGAAGCCACTAAGTTTCTTTTTTTTTTTTTTTTTTTTTTTGAGATGGTAGTCTCACTCTGTTGTCAGGCTGGAGTGCTATGGCGTGGTCTCAGCTCACTGCCACCTCTGCCTCCTGGGTTCAAGTGACTCTCCTGACTCAGCCTCTTGAGTATCTGGGATTACAGGCATGTCCCAACAGGCCTGGCTAATTTTTGTATTTTTAGTAGAGACGGGGTTTCCTCATGTTGGTCAGGCTGGTCTTCAACTCCTGACCTCATGATCTACCTGCCTCAGCCTCCCAAAGTGCTGGGATTACAGGAGTGAGCCACCCCGCCCGGCCTTAAGCCACTAAGTTTCAGAGGTAGTTTGTTATATGCAAAAGCTAACTTAATGCCGGGCGTGGTGGCTCAAGCCTGTAATCCCAGCACTTTGGGAGGCTGAGGCGGGTGGATCACGAGTTCGAGAGATCGAGACCATCTTGGTCAACATAGTGAAACCCCGTCTCTACTAAAAATACAAAAAACTAGCTGGGCGTGGTGGCGCGTGCCTGTAATCCCAGCTACTTAGGAGGCTGAGGCAGGAGAATTGCCTGAGCCCAGGAGGCGGAGGTTGCAGTGAGCCGAGATCGCGCCATTGCACTCCAGCCTGGGTAACAAGAGCGAAACGTCGTCTCAAAAAAAAAAAAAAAAAAAAAAAAAAAGCTAACTTAATCATGTCTTAGGATAGCTCATCACAAATAATATCTGGAGAGATGGAGGTAAGCAAACAGGCACACCACCAGCCACAGGCTGTGCTATCAGGTGTGTGGGAGGGTCAGGAAGTTTCCCCAGATTCTAGGCCAGGAGTCCGAAGAGGCGGGTGAGGCATTCACCTTGCATACAAAATATAAAGGGATACCCCAAAACTCATTAATGAAGACAAATGATGTACTATTTTAATACAGTATTTTAAAAAATCAAATTGGTATCTATGGTCCACGTTCCGGGTGCCTACTTTGTAAACACCATTTTATTAAAACTGGGACTGGGATTGGGGTTAGGCAAGTCAGGTGTGGTCATCCAAGTACTGGGCCAGACTTGCTTTTTTTTTTTTTTTTTTTTTTTTTTAAATATGGAACGCTTCACGAATTTGCGTGTCATCCTTGCGCAGGGGCCATGCTAATCTTCTCTGTATCGTTCCAATTTTAGTATATGTGCTGCCGAAGCGAGCACCAGACTTGCTTTTATTAAAAAGTTTGATATGTTCTCACAGTTTTTTTTTTTTTTTTTTTTTTTTGCATGAGCCTTATTTTTTGCATCAACCATTTGTTTGTTTTTTGTTGTTGTTGTTGTTTTTTTGAGACGGAGTTTCAGCTCTTGTTACCCAGGCTGGAGCGCAATGGCGCAATCTCGGCTCACTGCAACCTCCGTCTCCTGGGTTCAAGCAATTCTCCTGCCTCAGCCTCCCGAGTAGCTGGGACTAGAGGCGTGCACCACCATGCCCAGCTAATTTTTGTATTTTTAGTAGAGATGGGGTTTCACCATGTTGACCAGATGGTCTTGATCTCTTGACCTCGTGATCCACCCGCCTCGGCCTCCCAAAGTGCTGGGATTACAGGCTTGAGCCACCGCGCCCGGCGTTGTTTTTGTTTTTTTAGCTCTTTTGATTTGGGCCAAATCTTTCCTCACCTATTGACCAATCTCTGGCATCTAACTGGATCTCAAACCGCCACCTGCCTATTACGGTACCCACCAAGGGTCCTAATTTAAGCTCTTGCCAGACAATTCCACCTTGCTGGGAAGCAGAAATGAGATAAGTCCCACTCAGAAGAAACCAGAAGATGTGAGGTCAGCCTCCAGGGGTGGAGGAGCCACAGTCTACCTGGGACCTCCCCATTTTCCAGAAGTCTAAAGATCCCTCTCGTGGTTTCCCTGGATAGTTTGTATGGGCAAATCTTAGGAGCCTTCTGCTTGGATCTTCAGATGACCTTTAAAGAGGTTTGGGCTTATTTGTGTATTAATTTTTTTCCTCTCCGATTGTTGTGCTCCCCAACCTCAGCAAGCTCATTGGAGCAGGTAGACAGTTGGAATATTTGTAAGTTGTTGGTATTTTATGAAGTGTACTTCTGGCTGTCAGCCTTGGAATTTAGAAGCGTAAGCCTAGGAGTGGTTCTCTCAGGGTGTGGTGCAGAGGCGTGCGCGACAGAGCTCTTTCTCAGAAAACACCCACATCTCACCTGGTAATCTCAAATGTATTTTGACCCTAAGTTGGATACTCCCCTCTTCTCTAAAAGATTAACTTTCCTTCTCCCCAAACTATCCGAAATCTACAGATCAGACTTCAGCTCTCTGGTAGGCTTGAGGGAGAGGTAGTGGCTGACTTCATGTGAAGGAGACACTGGCCTGAGCAGAATGATTCTCCCACCCCCCTGATTTCCACCGCTCCCACACCAAGGCTGGGAAAGGCGGTGCCAGCTGTGGCATCTGAGGAATCCGTAGGGGAGTGGACTTCTTGGGGGGAACAAGAGAGAGATTTGTCCATGCCACTCCTTTGCTGTTCATCTGCAACGACTCTACACCTTTTCAAAGTCTCCCCAGAGAGTTGCATTTTAGGGACCCTCTACTTTTCCTGTGTCTGCACCAATGACACCAGAGGCGAGCTTTGTATCTGCTCCCTGCGCCTCCAGGTCAAGTGAGGAGTTCAGGAGAGGGCCTGGGGTTGACAGGTCAGGACGGCAGCCTTCCTCCCTGAGCACAGAGGGGACTCACACATTTCCAGAGAACCAAGAGGTGGCCACCAGGCCAGTCACACAACAGCATCTAATGTGTCCGGCCTGGAGCCGCTGCCAAGTAACGCACGAGATTAACCGAGGCCTGGCTCTGGATGAGCTTCTGGTCATCTCACGGGTAACCTGGCCTCCTATCTACCTCCTCCGCCTCCCCTCCGGAGGAGTTAGGGGGTCGGCGGCGAGGAAAAATGCAGTGACCACTGGGACCACTGAGTCCTCCCCATCAAAGGGCGGGCAGATCAGGTGCCTGGGGGAGGGCACAAGACTTTTATTTGCTTTCCATTTCTCTACACACACATACATACACACACACACACACACCCACACATACACACACACACATACACACCACACACACACCACACACACCCCCCACACCACACACACACACACACCACACATACCACACCACACACCACACACACACCCCCCCACACCCCCCCACACCACACACACCACACACCACACATACCCTACCACACACACCCCCACACCACACAGAAACACCACACACCACACAGCACACCCCCCACAGCCCCCATACCACACAACCACACCCCACACATCCCCACACCCCCCTCACACACCACACCATATCCCCCAAACTACACACACACCACAAACCACACCCCCACACCACACCCCACACCACACACACACACACACCACACACACCACACACACAGTCCACACACATACCCCACACCACACATACACCACACACACCACACATACCCCACACCACACACAACCACATACACATACACATACTACACAGCACACACACACCACACACATAAACATGCCACACACATATAAACATACCACACACACAGCACACACACACAGCACCGTCTAAGTAAGTACTCATGGGTCTTATTGGATTTCAGAGCTTGGGTAACATCCAGGACACCTGTGACTTGCTGGTCCTGAAGGCAAACTTCCTTCCTCTGTCCTAAGACCGGACCCTGATGACAGTGCAGGGCACGCACAGGCCCCCAGCAGGAGGGGTCACGTTGCTGGTACAGCTGCTTATGTTTACGGTCCCAGTGCAGGAAGGGAGGCAGCGGGCGCTTCAAGAAACATGTGCAGAAGCGCAGAGTAGCTTTGAAGAGGCTGGAACACACCATATTCTTTCTCAGGGTGTTTTTTTGAGACGAAATCTAGCTCTTACGCCCCAGGCTGGAATGCAATGGCGCCATCTTGGCTCACTGCAACCTCTGCCTCCCCACTTCAAGAGATTCTCCTGCTTCAGCCTCCCAAGTAGCTGGGACAACAGGTGCGCACCACCACGCCCAGCTAATTTTTGTATTTTTAGTAGAGACGGGGTTTCACCATGTTGGTCAGGCTGGTCTCAAACTCCTGACCTCAGGTGATCCACCCGCCTTGGCCTCCCAAAGTGCTGGGATTACGGCGTAAACCACCGTGCCCGGCGTTTCTCAGATTTTAACAGAGGAAGAAAACACCAACTTTGCTGCTGAGGCGCAGGCTTGAGAATGAGCTTCACCCTAAGTTCCTTCTGGGTCCCGGTGGTCGGCCTGAGTGAGGAGAGCTGGCGTCAGCAGCCTTGGAAAGGCCCCGCTCCAGGCTGGCCCCGCACTGTCGCCCGCTGCGGCCTGGAGGGCCCCGGCTGCAAATCCAGCACCTGCTGCTTCTGGGGCCAGAAGGTCTCCTGAGGGCAAAAGCCACCCCCTCTCCTGTGTGTGTGAAAGGTGAACAGGAAACTCCCCTCTCCAGGAGGTCAGTGCCAGGTTCTGCTCAGCCCTCCTTCAAGGCTCGTCCCGGTTGGAAGTGACCTGCCCGGCGGGGCTTCGATGGCTTTGCTCTGGTGCTGCCTGGACAGCCAGTCTCCCCTCGGCTCCCAGAGTCTGGTGGACAAGTGTCCCTTCACGTTCATCACCCGCAGCTGCTGCCAGATGAGAGCGGGAAGCTGGCTGGTCCTCCAGCAACGTGATGGGGACACTCAGGGACATCCTCACTTCCTGTGAGACTGGCTGCCTGGAGAGAAGAGCCAGAGCAAGATGCCAGCGCCGTGCAGTCTCCACACAGAAGCCCCTCTGTCCCACTTAGTCCCTCTTTCAGCCAGCTCAGAAGTGAGGGAAGCTTCCCTCCCCAGGTCGCCTGCTCCGTGGCCGGGGCTCAACTGGCTGGCCGACTCCTTCCTCACGGAAGCAGGCTGCGCAGGGCGAGTGGCTCAGGCAGCTTTGCAGCCCACGTGTTTGTTGAACCCACAGGACACACAACACCATGGCTGGCTGAGCCGCCCACCCCGCGACCACACTCTGCTGCTAGATGTGGAGCCAGGCCAGCCACCAGTTGCTGGTGTCACTGTCACTATGAACTGGGGATCCCTGCCCCTGTGGCACCTTCCTCCTCTGATTTGCTGCACTTCCTCTGTGCCTGCCCTGGGCTGCAGCTGGCTGGGCTGGGGTTTGGGGTGTGTTTCCCAGTGGGAAGTGGAAGGGAGCCCAACTTGGCTCCCCTGCCATGACCATTACCCCCACTTCCAACCCAGTGGATCCCCAGGGGGTCAGAGCGCCCAGGGCCCCGCCAGGAAGTTAGTGGGGTGGGTGGGACAGGCTGGGGGGCGGCCACAGATGCACATATCCTGAGCAGGATGCTTTCGTCCTGCCTGACCTTCGTTTGTTCTGTCCTTTTGTTTTTGTAAAGCCCTCTAGAAAGCTCCAGCTCAGCTGGATGTGGAGGTGGAGGGACCATCAATTGGCAGAGGCTGGAAGGGGACAGAGAAAGACGGAGAAGTGGTCCTTACAGCGAGCCAAAGGGTGAGAGGAGGCACCAGGACAGAGTGGGGACCCTTGGGCCCATCCCATCTCCAGGTCCTACTGGCAGCCCTTCTGTTCCGCCTGCGAGCAGACATCCGCTTCTGTTTGACCCAGGGGTGGCCTGACCGCGGCCGGGCCAGGCAGGGACATGGCGGCTGGGCCAGGGGCTGGACCACCTCCCCCCAGGGCAGGTCGGAGTTTCCAGGCCAACCCTGGGGCAGCAGAGCCAGGTCAGGGCCCACTCTGAGAGCTCCACAGAGTGGGGGTGGGGGCGCTTCTCTCTCCGTGACTGGCCTGGAGGTCTCACTCCTCAGCTTTGAGTTACTGAGACCAAAGGGAATTTATTTTATTTATTAGTTAATTTATTTACTTTCCGTTTCACTCTTGTTGCCCAGGCTGGAGTTCAATGGCATGATCTCAACTCACTGCAACCTCCATCTCCCAGGTTCAAGCGATTCTCCTACCTCAGCCTCCTGAGTAGCTGGGATTACAGGCATGTGCCACCACACCTGGCTAATTTTTTGTATTTTTAGTAGGGACGGGGTTTCTCCATGTTGGTCAGGCTGGTCTCGAGATCCTGACCTCAGGTGATCTGCCTGCCTCGACCTCCCAAAGTGCTGGGATTATAGGCATGAGGCCCGCTGGGATTACAGGCATGAGCCACTGCACCTGGCCAAGGGAATTTAGTAGGAAGGAAGATTCATGTAGAAACGGTCCCTGGAGGAAAAGAAGCCACCTGCTGGGGCCTGGTTGTGTGGGGAAGGGAAGCAGGCCTTATCCCCCTCTGGCCTGGCTTGTCACACACAGGAGCACGGGGCCAAACATAGCAGCAAAATGCCCTTCCCTCTGGGTTGGCGGGCGGCCGGGCTCCCATGCTAGCGGGGCCCAGGCTGACTTACTCGGCAGGCCCCTTGTGGAGGACGCTGTGGAGCAGGGGTGGCTGGCCTGCTGGGGGCCACACGAAGAGAGCGGAGGAGCCAGGACTGACACCTTTGCCTTGGGTGGCTTCCAGTTCGGTATCTCTGGAGTGCTGGGGGTGCGGGGTTTGCAGGTGAAGGCTGATGTACATTCCCTAGAACAAAATGTGCAACCTGGAGTCCCAGCTATGACATGATTAGAAACCACAGGAGGGACTGGCCGCGGAGGCTCACCTGTAATCCCAGCACTCTGGGAGGCTGAGGCAGGAGGAGGATCAACTGAGTTCAAGACTAGCCTGGCCAACATGGTGAAACCCCATCACTACTAAAAATACAAAAACTAGCTGGACCTGATGGTGGGTGCACGTAATCCCAGCTCCTCGGGAGGCTGAGGCAGGAGAATCTCTTGAACCTGGGAGGCAGAGGTTGCAGTGAGCCAAGACTGCGCCATTGCACTCCAGCCTGGGCAACAAGAGCGAAACTCTGTCTCAAAAAAAAAAAAAAAAAAAAAAAAGCCTAAAAAAAAAAAAAAACCAGCTGGGCATGGCGGCTCATGCCTGTAATCCAGCACTTTGGAGACCGAGCTGGGGAGACCAGCCTGAACAATATGGCAAAACCCCATCTCTACTAAAAATACAAAAATTATCTGGACATGGTGGTGGGCACCTGCAGTCTCTGATACTCAGGAGGCTGAGGCAGAAAAATCACTTGAACCTGGGAGGCAGAGGTTGCAATGAGCCTAGATCATGCCACTGCACTCCAGCCTGGGCGACACGGCGAGACTCTGTCAAAAAAAAAAAAAAAAAAAAGGAAAAGAAACCACAGGAGGAAGGAGACTTGGGCATAGGGTGGAGGGTGGGGAGGCACAGGCGCCAACGGGCAAGAATCCCTGCGCCCTGGAGCCTTGGGTCCTGCCCCACCGCTCTCCAGATGGTGACTGCACGGGAGTTCCCAGACACCTTGGGAGCCTCAGCTTCTCCGCCTATAAAATATCTAAGGAACAACTATGAGAATTCAGTGAGGTCGCCCTGGGCCCAGTCGTTAGTGCCCCATAGCTAGAAGTATGGTTCTGGAGAGTAGGATTCGGAAGGAAACTGTGGGATTCTTTTGGTTTGATTTGTTTCTACATGCCTTTTTTTATGTTGATAATACATCCCTTTAATAATTAGAAAAATAATACTTACATCTGAAAAGTCTCCAAATTCAAATTAGGAAAACAGTGGTATATGAACTGCTCATACTTTAGGCAAGAAGTCTTCAAACTAGGTTCAAAGGGATAGCAGGGATTTAGCCCTACTTTTTTTTTTTTTTTTTGAGATAGAGTCTCTCTCTGTTGCCTGGCTGGAGTGTAGTAGCGTGATCTCAGCTCACTGCAACCTCCATCTCCCAGGTTCAAGCGATTCTCCTGCCGCAGCCTCCCGAGTAGCTGAGACTACAGGTGCCCACCACCACACCCAGCTCATTTTTGTATTTTTAGTAGAGAACAGGTCTCACCATGTTGGCCAGCATGGTCTCGATCTCTTGACCTCATGATTCGCCTGCCTCGGGCTCCCAAAATGCTGGGATTACAGGTGTGAGCCACTGTGTCTGGACTTAGCCCTACTATTATACTTTTATTTATTTATTTATTTATTTCTTAAGCACAACATGGCCGGATATGGTGGCTTATGCCTGTAATCCTAGCACTTTGGAAGGCAGGTGAATCGCCTGAGCTCAGGGTTTCAAGACTAGCCTGGGCAACATGGTGAAATCCCACCTCTACAAAAAAAAGTACAAAAATCAGCTGGGCATAGTGGCACGTGCCTGTAGTCCCAGCTACTTGGGTGGCTGAGGCAGGAAGATCACTTGTGCCTGATGGTCAAGGCTGCAGTGAGCCTTGTTCACGCCACTGCCCTCCAGCCTGGGCAACAAAGCGTGACCCTGTCTCAAAAAATACAATTTTTGTATCACCCATAACGCTATTCCCCTAAATATTTTCCTTTTGCCTAAGTGATACTGTCGCTTACTCGCAGGTCCAGTCACATGCTGCTCTTACCACTCTGCTTTTATGAGTCTCATTCCACCCTCTCTACACGTCCATCCAGCCTGTTGTTAGCATTTACAAGAATTGTGGATTATTTCTTCTGATTGATATGCTTGGATTTAATAAACATTGACAGAGCTCATGTGTGCTGAGAACTGTGCTGGAGGCTGGGGATCAAAGAACAGGATGCAATTCCTGATGGGAGAAATTCACAGATGCGCGGGGCTGTCTGACTAGGGAACTGGGTTGTAAAATCATTACACGAAAGCTTTGCTGATGTTTCATTTTTTTTTTACACTTACAAAGGAGCTTTGTACATGGTCTAGAGTGCGGTTTCTTTTTTAAACTAATACATAATTGTACATATTTATGGGTGCAGTGTGATATTTTGATGCAAGTATAGTGTGTAACCATCAAATGAGGTGCTTCCTTTTAATATTATTTGGTTCAATTTTTTTTTTTTTTTTTTTTTTTGAGATGGAGTTTTGTTCTTGTTGCCCAGGCTGGAGTGCAATGGTGTGATCTCGGCTCACCGCAACTCCACCTCTCGGATTCAAGTGACTCTCCTGCCTCAGCCTCCTCAGTAGCTGGGCTCACAGGCGTGTGCCACCATGCCTAGCTAATTTTGAATTTTCAGTAGAGATGGGGTTTCGCCATGTTGCCCAGATTGGTCTCAAACTCCTGACCTTGTGATCCGCCCGCCTCAACCTCCCAAAGTGCTGGGATTACAGGCGTGAGCGACTGCACCTGGCCCAAATTTTTATATTTTACTATTAATATTTTGATATTTTGTGTCATTGTTATAATAGTTAACTTATTTTATTTTAATTTATCTTTTTTTTTTTTTTTGAGACAGAGTTCTGCTCTTGTCGCCCAGGCTGGAGTGCAGCCTCGCCCGCCGTACTCTCTGCAGCCTCCACCTCCCAGGTTCAAGCGATTCTCGTGCCTCAGCCTCCGAAGTAGCTGGGATTACAGGCACCTGCCACCAATGCCCGGATAATTTTTGTATTTTTAGAAGAGACAAGGTTTCACCATGTTGGCCAGGCTGGTCTCAAAAACTCCTGACCTCAGGGGATCCACCCGCCCCAGTTTGCCATTGCACCGGGCCAGTTAAATCATTTTAAATTGTAGTAAAATATCCATAGTATTTACCATCTTTATCATTTTTACGGGTAGCCCTGCCATGTTTTCAGAAAGAACAACAGAAAACCTAGTAAAAATGACTCACACGAACAGCAGAACTATTCCCAGTGGTGGTAAGAGGAGGGGTTAGCACTGAGTTAGCCTGGTGTGTCCCCATCACATGGTCCTGGGGGCAGGGAGGCCAGTACCAGTTGGCCTGGGAGGCAGCTCTCAAAGGCAGCCAGTGCCCCCCGGGGTTGGAGGAGCTGCTGTGCAAGTCCAGGAGGGAGAGCTGGCTTCTGTATGGCGCTTTAAAGCCAGTGGGAAGCAAGGTCAAGTTGCAGGGTCAAGGTCAGCTGAGGCGAGTCAACAAGAAGCCCAAGGAGAGAAAGCTGGGCCAGCAGGGCCCAGGAATCCGTAACCTCACACCATGAGGACAACCGGAAGAGGACACCATCCTTTTGGAAAGCAATTTGATAATAGGTATCAAAATCCTTATGTGATGGTTATTAAATATATATTTTTTAATTTTATTATTTTTTTAGAGGTGGGATTTTGCTAATGTTGCCCAGGCTGGCCTCCCACTCCTGGCCTCAAGAGATCCTCCCACCTTGGCCTCCCACAGTGCTGGGATTACAGGCATGAGCCACTGAGCCTGGCCCATAATGGTTATTTTATTGTTTTTGAGACAGAGTCTCGCTCTGGCACACCATCTGGAATGCAGTGACTCGATCTCAGTTCACTGCAACCTCCGCCTCCCAGGTTCAAGTGATTCTCCAGCCTCAGCCTCCTGAGTAGCAGGGATTACAGGCATGCACAACCATGTCGGGATAATTTTTGTATTTTTAGTAGAGACGGGGTTTCACCATGTTGGCCAGGCTGATCTTGAACTACTGACCTTGGGCAATCTGCCTGCCTTGGCCTCCCAAAGTGCTAGGATTACGGGTGTGAGCCACCGTACCTGGCCGTAATGGTTATTTTTCATGTGTCAATTTGACTGGGCCATGGTGCCCAGCTATTTGGTCAAATATTATTCTAGATGTTTCTGTGAAGTTGTTTTTTGGACGAGATGAACATTTAAATCAGTGGACTCTGAGTGAGGCAGATCACCCTCTATAACATGAGTGCCCCTCATCCAGTCAGCCGAAGGCCTTAGTAGAAAAAGACCGATATTCCCTGAGCAAGCAGGGCTTCTGCCAGCGGACGGCCTTTGGACTCGAACTGCACCTCTCCCCTGAATCTCCAGCCTGCTGGCCTACCCCATCAGCTTTTCACACTTTCCAAGCCTCTCCAATCACATGAGCTAATTCCTTAAAATCAGCCTCTCAGTTTCCCTGGAGAACCCCAACTAATACACCTTAAAAGCCTGCCCCCCTCTCCCTAGGATGTGACAGTGAGGGGTGAGAACGAGCCTCCTCAGACTGGGGCGCGCTCTGGCTAGCCCCTCCCACTGGCGCAGGAGAAAGTGCCCCTTGGGAGACCGTCAGGGAGCTGCCCCTTGGCCTAGCAGAGTCCACCCCATGAGGCCCTCGGACCACCTCAGGGGCTGCTGCAGGCGGTGGCTGTGCTAACCTAGGAGGCTGGGCCCTGCCATTGGACGCTCCAGCCGCTCTGGGAAGGACATGGTGGGAAGTGGGGTGGATGCTGTTGGGAGGGTCAGCTGAGCCCCCGATGGCCTAGGCGCCCTCCATCCCCCCAGCATGGTGAGCTCAGCAGCCAGGGCCAGGAAATGGCACTGATCTGGCCGGAGATGAGGCCCTATTAGGGCAGAGCAGAGAAAGCATGTGGAGAGGAAGTCCAGAACGGCAGTCACCTCTGACGTAGGGAAGTCATGTGCTGCAGAAACGCGTGACACTGGGTGAAAGGTGACATCGGCGAAAGTTGGGCGGTGCTCTGCAAAGTGTGTGATTATTTATTAGAGCGCCTGGCCTTGTATAATCTCAGCTTATCAATAGGAACATCGTGTTGGTCGGGAAGAGCCATGAACTGCCTTGGGAGATGCTGAATCTTTCCCTGTTTGGAATGCTGCTGAGTCATAATCCGGCTGCCAAGAGTCACCCAGCAGAGGATCCTGGGTCCCTTCTGTTTGCATTAAGGCCAAACAAAGGCGCCCAGGGCCACTAGGTGACTCTGCCCAGCAGGTTCATAACCGGCTCTCCCTTATTGCTGTATTCATCTGGGTTATGAGAAAACCCAGAAAGGGGCGGAGGTGGGGAAAGTAGGGGCAGAACAAAGCACACCAGATAAAGAGAGAGAGGAACCAGCTGCACACACAGCTCCTGCCCGGGGGCACAGATCAGGCTGCACGTCTCAAGCTCCTCGGGCTTCATGTGTCCTTTCTTTTTCCCTTTTTTTTTTTTTTTGAGACAGAGTTTCACTCTGTTGCCCAGGCTGGAGTGCAATGGCGTGATCTTGGGTCACTGTAACCTCTGCCTCCTGGGTTCAAGCGATTCTCCTACCCCAGCCTCCCAAGTATCTGGGATTATAGGCATGTGCCACCACGCCTGACTAATTTTTGTATTTTTAGTAGAGACGGGGGGGTTCACCATGTTGGTCAGGCTGGTCTTGAACTCCTGGACCTCAGGTGATCTGCCCGCCTCAGCCTCCCAAAGTGCCAGAATTACAGGCGTGAGCATGTGTCATTTCTTTAGCTGGATGCATGAATGTGTCATTGTGAGCTGCTGTCCATCCTCAGGGGACAAACATGACGGGAAAAGCATACATGTAGACATGTGTACAATCTCTTCTCATTTTTAAAAAGTCACAGTACTTGCAAAAGAATCACCTCTCATCTGTGGCAGGACAGGATCTTTGACATTTGTTTCTGATCCTGTCCTGGGTCTGCAGTGCGAGGAGCCCCTCAGACAGAGCCCCCTCCCTCCCCTGTCCTCAGGCCACATGGAGGCAAACTTCCAGGCACGAGAACCCTGCACCCAGCTGGGACTGCTATTCTGGAGTGGCAGGCCCACGCTGAGAAGGACTGACAGATAACAGTCAAGGCAGCCCCGGCATCACCTTCCTGCACATTCCAGGGTGCAAGTCAGCCTTTGCCGTCTGGACTGACAATTTCATGGGGAGCACTTTGGCTTTTCGCAGGATAAATACATTTGTTTCTTAATAAAAACATCTTTACCCCTGGCCAACATTGTTTTCTCCTGCTACTTAATGCTAAGGAGTCTAAAAAGCTGAATAAGGAGAAGGAAAATTTCACCATGGTGGGTGGGGGAAGGTAGTATATTACAGGGTCTGGACTTTTATTCCCCAGCCTCTGAGAAAGCAATTTTACAGCAAGACCAGTTGCTGGAAGTCACTGGAGCAGAGCTTGAGGCCATTATCCTTAAAACCCCTGCAAGACCATTCAGGCTACCATTAACCCAGACCTCTGCCCCAAGGGCTTCCCGCCCATCCACCTGTTCCTTTTCTGGGTGTGAGACCTCACCTGCAAGAGCAAGACAACAGAGCTGGGGAAAGTTGAGGGGAAAAATGTTCCCCACCAAAGCCACAGGAAGAACCACTCTCTCTTACGTGTTCATCAACAAGTACTCTGACACCTGGGCCAGGCGCAGGAGCACAGCAAACACGCCCTGCACTCCTTGCACACGGGGCACACTCCCTGCACACCCCTGTACACGGTGCACACTCCCTGCACGCCCTGCATACTCTGCACTCCCTGCACACTCCCTGCACATGGTGCACACTTCCTGCATGCCCTGCACGTGGTGCACACTCCCTACATGCCCTGTACACGGTGCACACTCCCGGCACGCCCTGTACACGATGCACACTCCCTGCATGCCCTGCACACAGTGCACACTCCCTGTTCACAATGCACACTCCCTGCACATGGTATACACTCCCTGTACACGGTGCACACTCCCTGCATGACCTGCACACGGTGCACACTCCCTACATGCCCTGTACACGGTGCACACCCCTACACACGGTGCACACTCCCTGAACACTCCCTGTACACGGTGCACACTCCCTGCACACCGTGCATCCCCTGCACTCCCTGCACATTCCCTGCACATGGTGAACACTTCCTGCACGCCCTGCACATGGTGCACACTCCCTACACACCCTGCACATGATGCACACTCCTGTACACGGTTCACACTCCCTGCATGCCCTGTACACGGTGCACACTCCCTGCACGCCCTGCACACGGTGCAAACTCCCTACATGCCCTGTACATGGTGCATACTCCCTGCACACGGTGCACACTCCCTGTACACGGTGCATATTCCCTGCACACGGTGCACATTCCCTGCATGTCCTGCATTCTCTGTACTCCTTACACACTCCCTGCATGCCCTGCATTTCCTGTATTCCTTGCATACTGTGCACACTCCCTGCATGCCCTTCACTCTCTGTACCCCCAGTAGGCCCTGCACACTCCGAATGCCCTGCACGCTGTGCTTGTCTCTGAAGCAACAAGAGGCAGCCACAGACCCCATGACAACACAGTGAGGTCTCCGCCCTGTGGCTGCTGTTGAGCCTGGCAGAAGGGTGTGACCTGCATTTTGGGGTCAGGGAGGAGGAAGGGATGCTTAGCTGAAAACTGAATTAGGGCTGAAGTCAGCCTAACAAGAGATGGCCTCTTGCCATCTAGAAGACTGTGGCATTCTAGACCACATGCACATGAGGCATATACGACGCAAGCCTCACCTAGAACGGCGTCATATTCCGCATGACGTCGCCGGTGAGGCAGGGGGAGAGGAGATGACTTGTACTTCTCTCTTTCCATCGTCTCCTTCCTCACACGGAACCCCCAGGCTTAACATAAGAGCTGGTTTCGGTGACTGACACCAAGGGGAGGGGGCACCTCTGGGCTGGACTCGGAGGGGCTTTGTGCCCAACAGAATCTTGGGGGGCCAGCTAGGCAACCCTGCTGGATGTAAGGAAGTCCCTTGGGGTGGGCTGCGTACTGACTGTGAAAACAGTTATTTCTGGGGAGAGAGGGCTGACCCCAGTGGAGAGCCTCAGAAATGAACTCAGCATGGACAGGAAGTAAAAAGAAGCGGCCTACGGCGGAAAGGGAGGTTTGGCTTGGCCGAACCGCAGAGGAGAATGCAGTCTGGCCTGCGGGCATGAGATGGCTCTGGCCCGCCCTTCAGAGGTCTCTCATTTTGAGTCTTTATTTCAGGGGGATGCTGAAAGCCTGAGAACCCCTGGTCTGGCAGACAAGCTCTTCTTCAGCCACAGAGAGAGGGGAGGAGGCCCAGGTAGGGGAGGAGGATCCCTGGGTCCCCAGGCAGGTTGGCAATGGACTGGAGGAGACCAGTGGCTTGGCCCATCCCCCAACAATGCAGCCACCCTTGACCCCTCTTCCCCTTAGAGATAGCCGGCCACCCTTCCCTAGTCCAGGTCCTGCCTGTCCTTCCCGCAGTTCAGTTGGGATTTCGGCTTCCAGCCCGTCCCCACCCGCGGAAGCTGCAGCCGCCGCGGGGCTCCGCAGGCTTGACCACGCCCCCTTTCTCTGGCATCCTCCTTCGGTCTGTCGCTCCCTATCTCTGTCTCTTCCTGCCTCTTTGTCGCTCTGATTTTCTCTGCTAGTGGGGTGCAGGCTCTGCTGGGTCTTCCTGCCTGTTCTCTTCTGGGGCCTCCAGAGCTGAGCTGAAGCGGCTCCAGCCCCTATTTTACTGCGGGAGGTTGGCTTCCTTCGTGGCCGGGAGGAAGTGGTGAGGGGCAGCTGGCCTGCCTGGTGAGCGGGGACAGGCAGGGTCTGAGACCCAGGCCAGGCGCCTCTCCCTGAGCAGTTTCTCCAGGTCCAAAAGGAAGAGCTGGAGAGATTGGAACAGTCCTTTCTAGACCCTAAGGAACCCCTGATCACCCACAAGGCCAGTCTGTGTGCACGTGGTGCAGAGAAAGAGAGGACACCATTTTTTTCCCTTTTTCTTCTGCTTGGGGTCCCAGTTTTCTTTTTCTTTTCTTTTTTTACTTTATTTTATTTTATTTTTTTGAGACAGGGTCTCACTATGTTGCCCAAGCTAGTTTCAAATTTCTGGGCTCAAGTAACCCTCGGCCTCCCAGCATGCTGGGATCACAGGCGTGCGCCACCATGCCCCGGCCTGGGGGCCCGGTTTCGTTTCAGAAAGTAACCTCAGAGCCAGACCATTTACTTACCTCCTTCTCCATCTTTCTGCCCTCCAGCCCACCTCCTCCAGATGTAAAGAGCTAAGATGGGACACTGTCCCCAAGCCACCCCATCACACAGCCCCGGGCATGTTCGCCTGGCAGTCTGAAAACTAGTCTCGTGGGGATGCTTCTGAGTGCCATGTCCTTCGAGTCTGACCGATGGTTCTCAGGTAGCACAACCATCAGAGGGTGGCCAGGAGCGGCGGCTGCCCTCCCCAGGGAATCCCGACACTGCTCCTTGGCTTCCCCTGACAGAGGCTGGGCCTCAGAGGAGCTCTGCATCCGGCGGGGGGCGCCCACTTCAAGAGCTCCGAGAGTAGGGTTCAAGGCCTTGTGACATCCCCTTACCTGGTGGTCTCTCCCCTGTCTGGGTCCTGGGGCAACTCCCTTGGCTGGCTGGGGGTCCCCGTGGGGGTCGGGCGAGGCTCTTCCTGACATCCTTTCGGCCACCACTCTCCGGGCCTGGCGTTGATGGCCACTGGGGAGGAGGAGAGAAAGTTCAGTCCGCATCTGCTCTGGAGCCCCTCAGAGGATGCCCTCTCCTGCACTGGGCTGTAAAGCCAAGAAAAGCGCACCCCGGTCAGGCCCTGTGGGCTTCCTGGTGCCTGTGGCTTGGGGCACTTGTTTACTCTTGCAGGCTGGGAATTCGCTGGGCAGGGGGGCGTGGAGGGCACAGCCCAGGGACGTGCAGATCACCCTGCCTCCAGCCTCTCCGCCTCCCTCAGCCTCCAGAAAGCCCTCAGAACAACGAATTGTCTCCCTGGGCCATGGCTAGGCGCCGCCACATGGAACATGGAGGCACATTTGCTCTTCTGAAACTCAAATATATGAGATGGAATCTTGCTCTGTCACCTGGCTGGAGTGCAGTGGCTTGATCTTGGCTCACTGCAACCTCTGCCTCCCAGGTTCAAGCAATTCTCCTGCCTCAGCCTCCTGAGTAGCTGGGACTACAAGCACCTGCCATCAGGCCCAGCTAATTTTTTGTATCTTTTTTTTTTTTCTTTTTTTTTTTTCCCCGAGACGGAGTTTTTACTCTTGTTACCCAGGCTGGAGTGCAATGGCACGATCTCGGCTCATTGCAACTTCCGCCTCCTGGGTTCAGGCAATTCTCCTGCCTCAGCCTCCTGAGTAGCTGGGATTACAGGCACGCGTCACCATGCCCAGCTAATTTTTTGTATTTTTAGTAGAGCCGGGGTTTCACCATGTTGACCAGGATGGTCTCGATCTCTTGACCTTGTGATCCACCCGCCTCGGCCTCCCAAAGTGCTGGGATTACAGGCTTGAGCCACTGCGCCCGGCCAATTTTTTGTATCTTTAGTAGAGACGGAGTTTCACCGTGTTAGCCAGGATGGTCTCGACCTCCTGACCTCGTGATCCGCCCACCTCAGCCTCCCAAAGTGCTGGGATTACAGGTGTGAGCTACCTTGCCCGGCGGCGTGTAGTTTTATTCACTAAAACCAACAACCTGAGAGGTAGGGTGCTCCTCACGAAGCAGCCCGAGGCTCCTTAATGATGAACCCCTTGGTGCACCCAGGGTGGCCAGGAAGTGCCCTGACTGCCAGTGACAGGTGCCATAGCTGACGCCCACCCGGGACCCGGACAGCTGGGACATGCAGGAGCCCTTCATGGGGAAGCCGACGGAGAGTCCCAGACAGCACACCGAGGGGCCTCCCAGGGACCTGGGAACAGATGTTCCTGTATCTCAGATGCCACGACCCCTTCTCCCACCTCTCTTCTCCTACAGCTAAAGGGGTCCATGTCACTGCTGCAGCAACACTGTGACAGAGCTGCATCCGTGGCTCCCTTGGGCCAAGCTCCTCTCAGTTCTTTCATTTTGGAAGCACCTTTGCCTCTTTGCAATGTGATCTGTTTCATCTTAAATATAAAGGGACCTTCCCTGCAGGTTTCCCTGAAGCAAGGGGCTTTGACTTCCAGATAATTCTCTTTTGACCCAAACGAGAATCTATTTCTGATACCAGAACCCAGCGGGTGGCGCTGGGCGGCATCCACCTGGATCTGGGTCTCGAACTAGAGCTTCAGGACAGTTGGCACCGGCTCAGTGTGCTTAGAATAGGGCCAGGAGACAAAGCGTAGGTACACAAAAGAATACTTGAGTGGAGTCACACAGAATTGCTGGGCTACACACAGGGGAACCCCGTTACAACGTGTGGTGTCACAAAGCTGTGCCCATGCCAGGCAAGCCCTCTAGGACCAGGAACTTCCCAGGGTGTGTGAGGGTGAGGGGGCGGGGTGGCCACAAAAGAGGAACTGAGCTGGCGCTTCCCAGGGCCATGAGGTGGTCTTGGTTCAACTGTCCCTTTCTCCTCTCCCACTTCCTCCAGCACAGGCTGCACTGCAGACTTTCAGAGGTCCCACCAAGGACAAGAGACCGGCTGGGCACGGTGGCTCACGCTTGTAATCCCAGCACTTTGGGAGGCTGGGGCGGGAGGATCACTTGAGGTCAGGAGGTCGAGACCAGCCTGGCCAACATGGTAAAACCCTGTCTCTATCAAAAATACAAAAATTAGCCAGGTATGGTAACACATGCCTGCAATCCCAGCTATTCAGGAGGCTGAAGCAGGGGAATCACTTGAACCCTTGAGGCGGTGGTTGCAGTGAGCCAAGATCACGCCATTGCACTCCAGCCTGGACGAGAGAGAAAGCCTCCATCTAAAACATAAATAAATAGGCCGGGCGCGATGGCTCACGCCTGTAATCCCAGCACTTTGGGAGGCTGGGGCAGGTAGATCACTTGAGGTCAGGAATTCAAGACCAGCTGGGCCAACATGGTGAAACCCCATCTATACTAAAAATACAAAAATTAGCTAGGTGTGGTGGTGCACGCCTGTAGTCCCAGCTACTCGGGAGGCTGAGGCAGGAGAATCACTTGAACCCAGAGGAGGAGGTTGCAGTGAACCGAGATTATGCCACTTCACTCTAGCCTGGTGACAGAGTGAGACTCCACCTCAAAAAAATAAATAAAAAAGAAATAAAAAGAACAAGAGACCACCCCCCACCACCACACACAGACACACTCAAGAGCCAGGAGCTAAGATCTAGGGCAGCCTGGGTGCGCACCAGGGGCTCCCTGTGGCACGGTAGTATCTCTTGCCTGCTGGTCCAATTCTGGGCATTTTAACTCCCGGCCTATGAAGTCCCAAGGCATGTGATTTTGATATTCAAGACAGTCGTGGTTGGTGGGGAAATGAGAATAGCTTTCCTCAGGCCAGTGTTTTGCAAAACGCTAAGCCATATTCTTGGCCTTTTCCCTTGGGAACTATTTCCTTTTGGCATTTGGGACCAAGTCCTTTGCCTAGAAATGTACTTTCTGGCCTCGCATGCCACAGATCAAGCAGTTTGAGGGTCCAACAGGTTCCTCCTCTTAAGTTTTCCCTGCAGTGCCGACTGAATGCAAATTGCAGAGGCTCTTACTCAATAAACTCAATGTGGAGGTGGTTGTTTCTATGGGGTCTTTGGGTGGGGGGGTTAGTTCCCAGCACAGGCCAGAGTCTGCATCGAGCTGTGTGCAAGGAGACCTGCAGGAAGCCTGGCCTGGGGCCAGGATGGGCCTAGGGCAAGGTGAGCCAGAGAAGGCAAGTGGAGGGGGCCCACACCTGTAATCCCAGCACTTTGGGAGGCTGAGGCAGGAGGATCACTTGAGCCCAGGGGTTCAAGACCAGCCTGGGAGCACAGAGAGACACCCCTCTCTACCATCAATCAATCAATTGAAGCGGAGGGAAGGGCTGGAGAAGCAGGACTGTCTGGAGGAAGTCAGGCCAAGCTCCTGAGCAGGGAAGGAATGAAGCAGAAGGCAGCGTGGCTCCGGGGTGCCCACACCCGGCCCAGCACTGCTGTCCCCATGCTCATTCCCCCTCCCCCTCACTCATCCCTCTGCTTAACCGTAGTCCCCTTATCTGCTGAGCCAGAGGCAGGCGACAGGATGGGGAGTGGGGCAGGGAGGCCTGGGGAGACAGCAGCAGGCCATGCGCAGGCCTGTCTGAAAGAAGGCAGAGAAGCCAGAATGGAATCTACTGCAGGCATGGCAAAGGCTTACTTGTGATCCAGAGAAAACTTAATCTGGGGCTTGGTTTCTCCAAAGGAAGAACTTTCTGTCAAGCTAAAGGATTTTAAAGGCGACTAAGAGGGCCAGACATGATGGCTCATGCCCAAATCCCAGTGCTTTGGGAGGTTCAGGCGGGAGGACTACTTGAGGCCAGGAGTTCAAAACCAGCTCAGGCAACACAGCAAAACTCCGTATTTACAAAAAAATAAAAAAACACTTTGGCTGGCATGGTGGTGCATCTGTAGTCCCAGCTACTCAGGAGGCTGATGCGGGAGGATCATTTAGGCACAGGAGTGTGAGGCTGCAGTGAGCCATGACTGGCCACTGCACTCCAGCCTCGGGGACAGAATGAGACCTTGTCTCAAAACCAGATGAAGGAGGACTAGAGGTGTTGGTCTGAGGCTCAGAGCGGGCCTGGTTGGGCCAGGGAGGGCAGTGACTATTCTTGGTCTCTGGCAGGTGAAGGGCAGGGCTGGGGGCCAGTGTCCTGGGTCCCAGCCAGGCTGAGCCAATAGGAGCTGGCTTGAGGAAGGGACACTCAGAACACGGTCTCAGTGTTTGGGGCAGGCTGATGGGGGCACCGACTGCAGGATTTGGAAAAAGCACTGCTCTGGCTCCAGCTGGTCCACCTGGGGGGCTGGTGAGAGGCTCCTGCCTCCCTAGGAAGCAGCACGAACCGCCTGTGTCCACCAAGGCTGAGTGTCCTGGGGTGCCCACCCTGTTCATGCAAGGACCCAGAATTTGCCTGTGCCCAGACTTTGCCCGGGCTGAAGTAAACTGTTCTGGAAGAGAACAGTAATATCAACATTGCGGTAGCTGCTGTGGGGCCATTTCCATCCATACCAACCTCAAGGGTCTCCACCCTGCAGGCAGCAGCAGCATGACAGAGCTTTCCAGAGGCACATCCAATCAGTGCAAAGATAAAGGGCCTCTTAGTGGTCATTTTGGTAAAGCAAGGATGTTGCCGCGATGTTACCCTGAATGTACTGTGGGGCCTTTTGGGAAGTCCAGGCCTAAGAACTTGAAATCAGCGTTAACTCAATGGCATTCAGTCAAATTGACAAAACTTGTTAGATGCCCGAAGACCTCCACCCTGGCAGCAGAAATCTCTGGATAAATACTGAGCTGCTCACCTTTGGAGAACATATTAATATTTACAGCTCTAGTAAAACATGTGTAAAAGACCTGATGATCAATGCTGGCAAAACCTCTGAAACTGCTCATCACCAAGAGACCCAGGGTCCCAAATAACTCAGCAGCCATTGCTGGCTCGTCACTGGCTACCCCTCTGCACCTGGGCCTGGAAGCGTCTGAATCCAATTGTGAGCAGATGCAAGTTCTCAGCTGCTTCTCAGACAGGAATCCAACCCGTTCCTCTGTTGTTTTTCCTACTCAAATGGAAATTAGAGTCTTATCTGAACTGCTCATAATCCTTTTAATTTCCTTTCAAAAATTAAAAAAAAATACTTTGTACATTTCTGATTCAAAGTATATATGTTTTTTCTGGCATCTAAAAAATACTTTTATCTCCCATTGGCCTCTGGTTAAATCAGCTGGAAGTTTCAAATGAGTTTGGATCCCCAAGTTGTTTGGGCTCTTAGTTCTGCACATTTCAGCCTCGGTCCAGCCTTCCAGCAGGCGGCTGGCCTTGTCAGCACCAGAATCGGAGCCACCAGAACCAGTGTCACACACCTACATCAGCATGGGACTCCTCCTCCAAAGCTTCACATTAAAGCTGGCTTTCACCAGTCAGAAATCTGGCCCCAGGAGCCCCCAGACGGGAAAAGCTGGCAGTGCTCCGAGGACCAGCCTAGCATGGTCTGGCTGTGGGTGGGGAAGCCCATGAGCCTCTGTGACACGGGGCTGTGGCAAAGGCCAGAGGGCTTCCCAGGGCAGGCGTGCCTCTGCCACTCCTGCTGCCATTGCGCGTAGGTTCTAGACATCACAGTCCCAGAACTGCCCCGGCATGCTGCCCACGTTCTTACATGAAGAGGAAATGCGGGACTCGGGGGTGCTGAGCTTGCCCGCCCTGTAGACAGCCTCGTGGGTGTTTGGCAGGGCCTGTGGACAGCCGTTCCTGGCATGTCGGGCTATCTGGGGAGGTGTGTGATGGTCTTCCAGCCTGGAGGAAAACAGGAAAAACAGCAGTTAAGTACAGCCAGCCAGGAGATATGGACTGCTGGCTGTGGTGCGACATCACAAATACAGGAGGGGGCATGCCTCAAAGTCCAGTTAAACCATCATCAGCATATTACGCCTTTTTTTTTTTTTTTAGAATCACTGTTATAATAACTTTAATTTATCTTGCATTTTACAGAAGTCTATGAACGATTTTAAAAAAGCACCTCCTTACCCCATATCACGTTTCTCTGACAGTTGTTAAAGTAGGCAACGAGTATGTCAACAGCTTGAGCGTCAGCGTCTTGCAAGGATTTCAGACCAACCATTCGCCAAAGAACTTGGCAGCTTTTTAATCTTGTTTTTAATACAATGGTATATCCACTCTGATGGCAAACCTGTCCAGCCACATCTCCACAACACTCTTTGCAAAATCAGTGATTAGCAAATTAGTTAGCTTTGGCACGGAGCTGTGCTCGCTTGCCCGTGACAGCCTGGAAGCCTGTTTTGATACTGGCAACAGAACATCTAGAATGACAAGTTTCGCACTGTAGGAAATAGAGTCGCGTGTCCTTCTGCAGGATTGTGTCTGGTGATCGGCATGTGTGACAAGTGACATATTCCTTGATATATCTTCTTAAGACATTTTCTATCTGTTTCTGTTGGAATCTTCCTTTGATTACAAGTTGGTTATTACCATCTATAGAACCACTTGTACCCAATTCAGCCAACAAAAATGCAAGGAGATGTTTGGGCTGACGATGTAATAGTTTACAGATATCTGTAAAGTTGACAAAAGAAGTTTTCTTGGTTCCTACTCGGACGACCTGTGGAGGTTTCATGACAAATTTCCTTTTCTCCCCAGCAACCATATCTGGATTCTTTTCCCTCATGATGTTGAACACTCGATTCAGCAGCTCCTCATATGTGTAGTCTCTTTCTGAGCCTGCCCAAGCAGGGCCTGTCTGATTACTGAATGAGATGCCATCATCTTTTTTGCTGTCTTCATCTTCTAGAGCTTCATCTTTCTCTAGTATTTCATCCTCATCTGGGAACTTGACATTCTTCTTTTTCTTCTTTTTATTGCCAAGCATTATGTCAGGGTCATCCTCTGGTTCAGCTGGTTCTTGAACATCACTTTCAATCTTAAGATCCTTTACACCTTCTTCAGCTTCATCAATATCAAATATCTTTTTAGTTTTTTTCTTCTTTTTCTTTTGATTAAAGAAGTTCAAGTCATCTAGATCATCAGAAGCACCTTTTTTCCTACTGTCCTCTTCATCAGCTTCCAAATCTTTGTCCTCAGTTGGCTCTGGCTCCACTTCTTTTGTTTCTGAAGGCTGGGTTTCCTCTATTTGGGTATCCCCTTCCTCATCTAACATAAAAGGCTTCTTCTTCTTCTTTTTCTTCTTGCTCATGGTAGGATCAAAAATCATCTCATCCCCAGACATGGCTGCGGCTCGAGTGGGCTCGGCTCCGACGGGAAGTCAGACGGGTCAGCCCCAGGTTCCGGCGGCAGCGCTGCTCCTGCCGATACCTCTCCTACTACCGCACCAGGCTCTTGCATCAGCGAAAGGGAGCGACTCATATTACGCCTTTTAAGGGTTCTTGGCAGAAGCCAGGAGGCTGACCCTGGGAAGTAGCAGCCTCCCTTGCTCCTGTTAGCCCCATTGTGTATTTACAATGATACACGGCTTGTTATATTCCTAACATGCAATTACGTCTTATAAACCTGGGTGACATGGGACCATGACATTTCAAGCAACACAAGGCACAGATCTGGTTTTCTCCAAGGATGAAGCAGATGAATGAAGGGATGAATCCAATCAGAGACGATATAACGTGTCATGTCAGCCGTGGCAAGTGTTGGCCAAGAACAAGACTGCAGAACTTTCTTTTTTACTTAGAGACAGGCTCTCACTCTGTCACCCAGGCTGGAGTGCAGTGGGGCAACCACAGCTCGCTGCAGCCTCGACCTTCCAGGCTCAAGGGATCCTCCCATCTCAGCCTCTGGAGTAGCTGGGACTACAGATGGGCACCTCTACACTGGACTAATTTTTTTTTTTTTTAATAGAGACAAGGTCTCTCTATGTTGTCAGGATTGGTCTCAAACTCCTGGGTTCAAGCAATCCTTGCACCTCGGCCTCCCAAAGTGCTGGGATTATAGGCATCAGACACCGTGACTGGCTTAGAACTTACTTTCTTACAACACTACCTGCAGGCATCCCCAAACTACGGTCCGCGGGCTGCCTGCGGGCCCCCCTCCGCACTTCAGGAAGGGGCACCTCTTTCATTGGTGGTCAGTGAGAGGAGCACAGTATGTGGCGGCCCTCCAACGGTCTGAGGGACAGTGAACTGGCCCCCTCTGTAAAAAGTTTGGGGACGCCTGATGTAAAGGATGTGTCAGAACAGCTCCTGTGCAGTGCCTAGCGTCAGCACCCAAGCTGCGGGAGACACCCTCGTCCAGCAGACAAGCTCTGAGAGCCTCACTGCACCAGATCCAGCCAGGTGCGAGGGCCAGCTGGCTGGGACAGGCTCATCAGGTCAGCTTTGACCACAGATCCCCGAGGAAGGCCCTCCAGTTATCTGTAAGGCAACGGAACACTTGCTTCCCCTTCCACAAGGAAACATGGGCCACCGACTCCAACAAGGGCTTAGTTCGTGACACATGACAAGCTTGTGCCTGCCTAGGGTTGGACCCTGCACATGGCTTGAATGTCAACTTCATATGACCGGCCAGGCACGGTGGCTCACATCTGTAATCCCAGCACTTTGGAAGGCCGAAGCAGGCAGATCACTTGAGGTCAGCAGTTCAAGACCAGCTTGACCAACATGGTGAAATACCATCTCTACTAAAAATACAAAAATTAGCTGGGCATGCTGGTGTATGCCTATAGTTCCAGTTACTCAAGAAGCTGAGGCAGGAGAATCACTTGAGCCAGGGAGGTGGAGGTTGCAGTGGGCTGAGATTGTGCCACTGCACTCCAACCTGGGCAACAGAGCAAGACTCTGTTTAAAAAAAAATTCATATGGCTTAACCCAACACCAAAGACAAGGAGACATGTAACCACCCTGAGGGGAGGCAGGAAAGTCTTCCCAAGGTGGACATTCAGTCTTTTTTTTTTTTTTTTTTAAATAGAGACGAGGTCTCACTATGTTGCCTAGGCTGGTTTTGAACTGAGCTCAAGTGATCCTCCCACCTTACCCTCCCAAAGTCCTAGGATTATAGGCATGGGCCACCATACTCCTGGCCAACTCAGTCTTGAACTCTTGAGTTGGGGTTTGCCAGGTGCCAGAAGAGGGAAGGTTTCATAGCAGAAGTAACACCATGAGCAAAGCAAAGAGGAAAAATAATCTGTCTATCTATCTATCTATCTATCTATCTATATGGTATGTGTATATATATATTTATGCTATATTGTTACACAAAGATTTAAAGCACCACAAAATATGGATGCCCCCTACCTCCCCATCCTAAAAAGACCTGTGCGACAGTAGTGTGGAGGGGGCAGCGTGTCCTGGGTGCCCTGATGCTTGTGTGTGGGGGGTGCCAATTGAGAAGGACCCAGTAAGGCCAGGATTTAAACATGATCCCAAGTAAAGGAGAACCAAAGGAATGGCATTCCCTGCTAAAAGACCATTCCATCAATGGTAGTGGAAGGTGGACGGTGGCGCAGAGCACTGTTAGGAGGACCTCCCTGAGCCGTGAAGGCCACTGGTGGGCAGGACGGGGTGGGAGGAGCGTGCATACCTGCCTGGACTCTGGCTTGGCTGTTTGTGGGCACTCTCTCCATGCCCTGAAGCAGGGGGCTCAGATGGCAGCTCCATTGATTTAGGAAACGCCAAACTAGGGGGTGCTGTGGGGACCTATCTGGGCTGAGTGTGGGTGTTATTAGTGAGTAGGGGAAACAAGAGAACAGGCCGGATGCGGTGAGGGCCTTTGATGGGGCTTCCAGGGAGGAAGGGAGTGAGAGGCAGAGGCCAGCACAAGGGGACTGGGGTACAATGACTCCCAGGAGGGGTCAGCAGCTGGCAACTGCAAAGGCGGGGATAATGGGCCCAGAGTGTCCTCGGGGGTTGGAAACCAGAAGGTCACCTGTGGTCTTGGCAGTAACACCCTCTGGAAGTCGTTGCCTGGCCACAGAGAACTGACCAGGGAGGAAGATGGGACAGGGACTTGGCCAGAGAGGGCCTGAGGGGGAGGCAGGCAGAGCCCCAGAGCCTGTTGAGAGGCTCGAGGAAGGCAGCAGGAGGGGAGGTTGAAGACAGAGCAAAGGATGTGTCCGGAGATTGCACAGAGATGGGGGAGAAGGATCTGGAAGCAATGAAGGGAACAGGCTTGGGTGGGATGAAAATGGCCAGGGAAGCGCGGCCGATGACAGGCTGAGGTGGGGTGGGAGAGTCTCCATTGCACGGGGCAAATGTGTTTATCTGCAACTTTTTGTTCACTTGATTATAAAACCAATAAGTATTTATCGTGAAAAATTAGGTAAATACATAGAATATATAAATGATCTGCCCTCCCAATACCTAAGCACAACCACTTAACATTTGGTTTAAAAAAAATCTTTAGGCTGGGCGCGGTGGCTCAAGCCTGTAATCCCAGCACTTTGGGAGGCTGAGGCGGGTGGATCACGAGGTCAAGAGATCGAGACCATCCTGGTCAACATGGTGAAACCCCGTCTCTACTAAAAATACAAAAAATTAGCTGGGCATGGTGGCACGTGCCTGTAATCCCAGCTACTCAGGAGGCTGAGGCAGGAGAATTGCCTGAACCCAGGAGGCGGAGGTTGCGGTGAGCCGAGATCGCGCCATTGCACTCCAGCCTGGGTAACAAGAGCGAAACTCCGTCTTAAAAAACAAAAACAAACAAACAAAAATTATTTAAAAATATGCAAATACACACTTAAAAATACTAGCCTGGGTTGTCCATGCTACATGGCTAGCATGCTATAGTCACACTATTCTAGAATTTGCTTTTTTATTTAGCAATACATTGTGAGG